CCCCTTTTCGGGCGAACCCCCCTGTTTTCTAGCGAACCCCCTCAAATTTTTTAATGAATCCCACTCGGACGGAATGTCTGTTTTTAACTTACCCAGCATTAAATCAACATTTAGCGCCTAATTCATTATTTGGTCACCCGTTTTTAAATTCTAGACTGCGATACAAGCCTTCATTCATATCTTAGCTTCAGAAGTTCGGAGATTTAAATTGAACGCAACTCAGGCAAACCATGAATTTACGATGGCTCACATATAAGGATGGCGAACATCGATAAAAACCCGGCTCCCGTCTCAACTTTGACTGGCCTTTACCTGAATGTTTGTAAGAAATGTACCAACCGGTAACGAAACCGGTCGCCGTCTACCTAGAGTAAATGGCGCCACTAAACGAAGCTAAAGTTTTGCGACTTAATCCACCAAATGCAGCTAAAGTTTTGCGACTTAATCACCTGATTCTGGATTGTGTGGTTAGTAAATTCCATAGCCATACTGTCCACAGCGCACACTAACCTATTTGCTGATGGAGCATTTTTGGAAAATTGATTCCTTTTTTCCATCCCAAACAAAATATTATTAATAAGTCAACATGGTCCATCTCAGTCAACATAGCCAGTCACAAAATTAGGAAGGTTGTTTTCAACAACAGACACACACACACACAACAGAACGGAGTGCGTCAAAACGAGTGTTAATTTTTAGTGATAAAGAATTACGAAACGTCGTAGAATAACTGACTTTTTTCGTCCACTGTGGCAAAGAAGAAAACGACAGATAGTCCTTTAAGATGGGTTATTTTCACAAAAACGTGATGCAATAATGAAAAAATTATTATTATTGTTCATTTTAAATTTTCTCCTATTCTTTCTTCCTCTGCTTCTTCCATATTTTCGTTTAAATTTAATTTGTTATACTAAATACATATTTATGCATAATATTTCTATGTATATATATATAAATTTATATCATTTTAATACAGATTTACATATTTTCTGTAATCTAGAAATAGGTTTATGTATACTTTGTGTCTGTATTTAACATGTTTCAATCTTTTGCTTTATTTAAATATCAATTATTATCATAAATTTTAATGATTACATTATTTCATATAGTATTTTAAATAAATTTATAAACATTTTTTTTAATATTTAAATATAAACTATGAAAGTAAATACACGTAGATTAGATCAATAAAAATGGACATATTAGGCCTAGTAATCTTTATCTATTCATTAACACGATTAACATTTTCAATATTCTAATCAATTTTTATATAGCCGGAGTTATTTTCGACCCAGACAAACATTTGCTAAAAAGGTACACTTTCTCCATGAAAAGGCTTCTTCTATGAATGGAATGACCTGTTCGAAGCACGAACTCCTGTAAACCAAACCAAGTACCGTTACGATGTTTAGTCGTACGGGAAATCCACTCACGAAATATTTTCTAATTTTATTATATTACCACCTTTTTATTACATAGATCTTTTTCAAAACATAACTGCTTTTATAAAATTATATAGACCCATTAAACACAAAAACTGCTCTGTCTTCGGGGGCTTTGCGCCCGACCCCGCCGGGGCCCTTAGGCAGGACTCTGGACCCCACGCCCAGAGAACCCCCCCCCCCTTGAAATGACCTGGCTACGGGCCTGATATATTTGAAAATGATATTTAGAAGTCTATTCGATATTATTGTCTTCATACCATAATACTTGAATGTGATATTTAATTTGTCTACATAATTTCATTTATGCTAAAGTTATCTAGGCCTATATACTTTTCTTAATTTTTCTTGATGTTTCTTTAATTTCTTTTCACTTTCTCCATTATATTCATTTTCTTTTCTTTTTTATTTCTTTTCCCTTTCCAGTTTTTCCTTTCCGTTCTTCCTTTTCCTACCTTTAATTTTCTTTTCCGTTTCTTTCCCTTTCAATATTTACATATGTTTATATATCATTTGAAAATGATAATTAGCCATCTCATAGACACGACGTCTATTCGATATTAGTGTCTTCACACCATTAATTTTAATATTTGATTTATGTTTATATAATTTCATTCATGCTAAAACTAGCTTTAATATAAATGATGTTTAATATCTGCATCATCTCTCTCCCTCTGCACTTGCTCTCAGACCATATAAAGCAGTTATTTACTTATTTTTTTAAATTTTCATTACTTTCGATTGATTACCAATTTGTTATTCCTTAACAGTTTTCTATTATTTTTTTAAATTTCCATTTCTTTCATGTACCTTTCTTAATTGGCAATCATTCTGAAATCCAAAGTGGTAGTTGTCGGACTTCTTTCTAAATGGTGCTACGTCACTGCCATAGGCAGGTCTCAATATGATTATGAGATGTTGATGATTGAATGATATCCCTAATTATACATATACACAATCTTGATTCACAGTGCTGGTAGTTTACATATGTAAATATGAAAAAACAATTTGGCCGCCATCTTCATATCCAATATGGCAGCCATCTTGAAATTCAATATGGCGGCCTTCTGACATAATTTCTGATATCTGCATGATACTCCCGGATATCAAAAACACGAGTAGAGATCTTTGACAGTGCTAGGTGTTGTAGATATGACGATATTTACAACATTATCAATAATTAATTTGGCGGCCATCTTGAAATAGTATGGCAGCAATCTTGAAATTCAGTGGTGGCATTCTGACATAATTTCTGATGGCTGCATGATAGTCCTTGATATCGAAAACATGGGAAACGGTCTTTGATTGACAGTGCTAGGTGCTTTAGATAAGATATTGACAAAAATAGCAATAATTTGGCGGCCATCTTGAAATCCAATATGGCGGCGCCATCTGACATAATTTCTGATGATTGCATGACACTCCCTGATATTGAAAACATGGGTAATGATCTTCAGTTGGAGTGATATGTGCTGTAAATATGAATACATAGGCTAAAATTAATTATTTTGGCGGCCATATTAAATTTCAAGATGGCGGCCATTTTGAAATTTAATATAGTGGTCTTCTGACATAATTTCTGATGGCTGCATGGTAGTCTCTGATATCTAAAAACATGGGCAACGGTCTTTGATTGACAGTGCTATGTACTGTAGATATGAATATTGACAAAAATATCATTAATCTGGCGGCCATTTTGAAATCTAATACAGCGGCGCCATCTGACATAATTTCTGATGATTGCATGACACTCCCTGATATTGAAACATATGTAGTGATCTTCATTTGGCAATGACATGTGCTGTAGATATGAATATATTTACTAAAATCGAATATTTTGGCGGCCATATTGGATTTCAAGATGGTGGCCACTAGGAGGCGTTATTTTTTGGGGTCTATTCTTTTTTTTTTTATTGATCTTTAGGTGTCATAGTATCACTGTGGGAAGTTTCATGCTTTCTTCCAGAAGTGCACGATTCTACCTGAAATTCAACCTTAGCCGCTCTACTACAGTGTCTTGTGATGTTGTGTGGTGTGGTGTCGTGTGATGTGATGTGGTGTGGTATGATGTAATGGTGTGATGATTGATGTGATGTGTGGTGTGATGTGATATTATGTGATGTGGTGTTATGTGATGTGATATGACTGATGTGTGGTGTGGTGTGATGTGATGATATTTGATGTGATATGACTGATGCGATAACATGTTGTGGGATGTGATGTGATGTGGTAGATGCCATGTGATTTTATGTGATACGATATAATAGGCCTATACAACATGATGTGATGTTATGTGATATGAAATGATATAATATAATATCATATTATATCATTTCATATCACATAACATGATGTGATGTTGTATGTGATATGAAATGATGTAATATGATATTGTTAAAATAACAATAATTATAATAATTTATTGTATAGCATTTTATATTGTATAGTTTCTATTTACGATACGATACGATACGATATTCTTTATTGTCATTTGAACAACAGGGTACAAATGAAATTCAAGTGATTGATCAAGGTACAATTTCAGAGAGGAATAAAGAAAAAAGCAAACTAACAAAGAACTCCAAAGAGACATGTTCAAATAACTTAAATCTAATGAATCATATTGAATTTATTGAATCTTAATGAATCTTATTGAATCTTATTTTTGTAATTAATTATAGCAATTCATTTTATTATGCTATGATGATTGTATAAAATATACCAGAATATAATATTGATATTTCTCACACTGTCATTTCAATTCCAATCGCTGTATGAATGTTAAAGCATAAAAAAAAAACAAAAAAAAAACAGCAACATGTAGATGTACCTGCATACATACAGACAAAATATCACCAGATTATTGATATTTCTCACACTGTCATTTCAATCTAATCGTTGTATAAATGTAAAAGCATTTAAGAGAGAAGAAAAGAAAAAAAAGCAACATGTAGATTGCTCTTTATTTACCTGCATAAAAAATACAGACATATCACCAACACACAGGTAACGAGCACAGCAAAAAAACCAAATGATCCAACTACCCATTTTGGAACCAGAAGTTTGGACTTTAGTGTGTCTGCACACAAACGCTCATCGGTTAACGACCCACTACATTGTTTTCCAGAACATTTTGGGTACATATTAACGTCACGTGATCTAACTTGGAGCGTTGCATTTTTACATGACGACCAATCACTCCATTCACTATGACTGCAGTCGACATTTTCGCATTCACAGCAATCACCACTAAACCCTTCTTGGCAGCTGCATGTGTCCTCTTGTAGTTTCATGGTTCCGCTGTTGTTGCAGAACTGGTTGCAGGGTGTTTGATCAGTAAGCTTATTGGGGCAGACGACTCCACCACAGGCGTGTTCCTTAGTAACATTACGTGTTCTGAACTGTTTTCCGAGAGGTCCGCATTTTTTAGAACACGCTGACCATTCGCTCCAAGCATCCATGACACAATCTTGTATCTTGCATTCGCAACAGGTACCACTGTATCCAATTGGACAATCGCAACGATTTTCGATAAGTTTCCCACTATTAAAACAAAATGTATTACACGACTGCTCCTCTGACAAAGAAGAAGGAAACATAGTCTGCCCACCACAAGCCGACGACCTGTCGATGTCACGTGTTCTAAATTGTTTCCCTAGCGGACCACAACTATGTGAGCAAGATGACCACTGGTTCATGAACTCATCGCACAGTCTTGTACCTTAATATCACAACACTGACCTCTGAATCCATCTGGACAACTGCAATTGTTTTCATGATCAACTAAGCGGCCCCCGTTACTGCAAATTCTATTACACGGTTGTTGTGCTGTTAGTGGAAATGAACACTTGGCTCCTCCACATTCTTGAAACTTATCTACATTACGTGTTCTGAATCTCGTTCCAAGAGCACCACACCTTTCCGAACACGTTGACCATTCGCTCCATGCATTCAAGACACAGTCTTGTATTTTGCATTCACAACAAGTGCCATTGTATCCGATTGGACAATCGCAACGACTTTCGCTAATTGTTCCTCCATTCAAACAAGCTTGATTACACGCCTGGTCTTCTGACAATAAAGAAGGGAGAATTGTCTGTCCGCATTCAGACCGCTTTTCTAACATTTCACGTATTCTAAATCGTTTTCCTAGTGGACCACACGTATGGGAACAAGATGACCACTGGCCCCATGGAATCAATGCACAGTCCTGTGTCCTAATCTCACAACACTGACCAGTGAAGCCATCTGAACATCTGCAGCTTTTCTCTGAAACAATCAAACTGCCACCGTTGTAGCACGTTCGATTACATGGCTGTTGCTCTGAAAGGATAGATGAACATGCCATTCCACCACACTCCTGTCTCTTATACACATCTAGATGTGTATAAGAGACAGATGATATTGTGATAATAACAATAATTATAATAATTTATTGTATAGCATTTTATATTGTATAGTTTCTATTTTTGTAATTAATTATAGCAATTCATTTTATTATGCTATGATGATTGTATAAAATATACCAGAATATAATATTGATATTTCTCACACTGTCATTTCAATTCCAATCGCTGTATGAATGTTAAAGCATAAAAAAAAAAAAAAAAAAAAAAAAAAAAGCAACATCAGTTTGTGAACTACAGTATAAGATCTCTCTATATTCTGGACAAACAGGAATCTTTAAGAAAATATTCATTGATGTAACTCAATAGGGGTTTTTCACTTCATAAAAAACCTTTGTGAAAAACTATAAATGGACTTCCTCATAAATTCTTGAAAAGACAGAAGACAATTATTCACAAAAAGTGCGCTTGCACTGCAATACCAAGGTTGTCGTAATAGTTTTTTCAAACAGTATTGTAACAAACTCTCAATTTATTCATTGAGGAGATTTTATAAAGTTGATCAAAGCATAGAACAATAAAAATTCATGCAATAGGAACAAAGTAATATGCATTTGACTTTGTCACTGCACTTTGCAAATCTTTTATTTACTAAATTACCTTGTATGCACTTGTCTTTTCACAGGATATATATATATATATATATATATATATATATATGTAATTAAAACGGAACAGTAGAGAAAATCCGATCAGAATGACAAAATAAACTAAGTATCCACTGGAAGGAATCCCAATATCTGCAGACGGATCCGTTTCGGCCTTCCAGGCCTCATCAGTGCAGCTGGGGTATAGACCCAAACAAAATGTTTGACCAGTTTAGGTAGGGCCCAAAGCAGTCCCACGACCACTAATGATTACAGAGCCAAACCAAGGCAATAAGTATACACAGCCCAGGTGTGAATGCAAAATCTAACTTGGAGCGTTGCATTTTTACATGACGACCAATCACTCCATTCACTATGACTGCAGTCGACATTTTCGCATTCACAGCAATCACCACTAAACCCTTCTTGGCAGCTGCATGTGTCCTCTTGTTGTTTCATGGTTCCGCTGTTGTTGCAGAACTGGTTGCAGGGTGTTTGATCAGTAAGCTTATTGGGGCAGACGACTCCACCACAGGCGTGTTCCTTAATAACATTACGTGTTCTGAACTGTTTTCCGAGAGGTCCGCATTTTTTAGAACACGCTGACCATTCGCTCCAAGCATCCATGACACAATCTTGTATCTTGCATTCGCAACAGGTACCACTGTATCCAATTGGACAATCGCAACGATTTTCGATAAGTTTCCCACTATTCAAACAAAATGTATTACATGACTGCTCCTCTGACAAAAAAGAAGGAAACATAGTCTGCCCACCACAAGCCGACGACCTGTCGATGTCACGTGTTCTAAATTGTTTCCCTAGCGGACCACAACTATGTGAGCAAGATGACCACTGGTTCCATGAACTCATCGCACAGTCTTGTACCTTAATATCACAACACTGACCTCTGAATCCATCTGGACAACTGCAATTGTTTTCATGATCAACTAAGCGGCCCCCGTTGCTGCAAATTCTATTACACGGTTGTTGTGCTGTTAGTGGAAACGAACACTTGGCTCCTCCACATTCTTGAAACTTATCTACATTACGTGTTCTGAATCTCGTTCCAAGAGCGCCACACCTTTCCGAACACGTTGACCATTCGCTCCATGCATTCAAGACACAGTCTTGTATTTTGCATTCACAACAAGTGCCATTGTATCCGATTGGACAATCGCAACGACTTTCGCTAATTGTTCCTCCATTCAAACAAGCTTGATTACACGCCTGGTCTTCTGACAATAAAGAAGGGAGAATTGTCTGTCCGCATTCAGACCGCTTTTCTAACATTTCACGTATTCTAAATCGTTTTCCTAGTGGACCACACGTATGGGAACAAGATGACCACTGGCCCCATGGAATCAATGCACAGTCCTGTGTCCTAATCTCACAACACTGACCAGTGAAGCCATCTGAACATCTGCAGGTTTTCTCTGAAACAATCAAACTGCCACCGTTGTAGCACGTTCGATTACATGGCTGTTGCTCTGAAAGGATAGATGAACATGCCATTCCACCACACTCTGGTGACTGTAGGATATCTCGAATTCTAAACCGTGTTCCTGAAGGTCCACACGTTTGCGAACACAGTGACCATTCACTCCATTCGCTCAGTTCACAATGTTTTATCTCACACTCACAGCATTGCCCGCTATATCCAGATGGACATTTGCAGCTATTATTTTCGATTGAACCACCGTTGTAGCACTTTCGACCACATGATTGTTCTTCTGTCAGTGACGATGTACATTCACTACCTCCACATTCAGGAGCCTGTACTATTTTGCGAATTCGGAATTGTGTTCCATGAGGACCACATGCGTGTGAGCACGTTGACCAACCATTCCACTCGGTCATGCTGCAGTTTTGTATTGTACATTCACAGCACGTACCAGTGAATCCATTTAAACAGTTACAGTAACCTAATTCATCCATTGGGGTACCACCATTTGAGCACATTAAATTGCATCTCTCTTCTTCGGAATTATTTCCATGACACTCAATACCTCCATCTTTAGCTTGTAGCGAATACGATCGAATTCTATATTGTGTTCCATTTGTTCCACATTCGTGAGAACAATCACTCCATTGATTCCAATTTTGCCATTCACAATCAACTGGAGACCGAGAATGTATTTTTCTACCTACGAAATAACCTCCATAATAACCTCCAAATAGAAAAACCAAACATACTACCGCCGCTAGAGCTACAACATGTTTGACGTCCATCTTTTACGGTGGTGGAAATACAAAATAAATGTATACAGACATTCAGTAAAGCCATCCTACTGTTTGTTCATGTAGAATCCAGGAAATAGAATTCATGTAATTGTTTGTTTATTATGAATGCAAAAGTGATTAATAGCCTATAGGTTGGATGTTTTCAATACTTTCAGGCCAATCACTGGCTCACTGCGGCTCCAAGTAGGGTATTGACAAACTGCGAGTCAGAGAGGCATGCGATTCATACAAGCCGAGGCAGGGCGATGTATAGCTGCATTATTGTACCATAAGTGCGAGGCACCCTAAAAAACGTAAAATTCATAAGTGACAATAGAAATATTTTGATATAAATTATGATGTTCATCTGACCTTCTTCTTCGAGTAATTCTAAAATCAAACCATTTCTATTTTAGTGCATCGTCACGTGTGAGGAAGCATATGCAAATACCAGGGAACAGTGAAATTAATTTCACTGTTCCCTGGTAAATACCAAATGGACAGGGCCCAGCCTCTAAAAGCTAATGTTACTGAGGGCAAAATTTAGGAATTTTAAAAGTTAATTTTATAGATCTATATGCCTCGCTCCCCCCCCCAAAAAAAAACCCGGCCCCAGTGCTTCGAACTGGCTCCACTCCCATACTTACGCCACTGTTTTGAGGCGCGGCGTTAATATATCTAAGAAAAGCGTATTCCATAATACTTTTTTTCTCCCGTAAAAATCCCGGCATTCTTCTTGCAACCTCAATACAGCTGCTATTAAACCACTGGTAGGAAGAGTTCCATGGCATCCTTCTTGCAGCCTCTTTACTACAGAGATGCTATTAAACCAATCCAGGAATGTGACGGCGGTATGAGTCGTGTCTAGCAAATTCTGGCGAGCGCGGGTATGAAGAGTTCGAGCATGCAGGCTCTCTACAACTGATATTTAACCACGGGTATGAAGAGTTCCATGTTCAACCAAAACATTAAAGAATAGCAGACTGGAGGATGGGGAATGAGAGTTTAACACTCATCTGGCTCTAGCCGTTGGGAAGAAACCCCTCTCTCACTAGACTTGGTTTCTGCGTCAAATTATTCTAGTAAAAAATAATTTTGTCCGAGCGTTGCCCTTACCTTATTTTATCAGTACTACAAACTGCAAATATTTACAATGTTACGTGAATTTAAAAAAAAAAAAAAAATAAATAAATAAAAATCCACACCATAATAACTATCTACCGTAAAACCTTGAATTGAAGCCCAGTGGGCTTAATCTCGAGATGAAATTATGCTCGAAAAGGAGCCCATGGGCTTCTTTTCTAAATAGCATAGGCTTCTTTTCGAGATAGTACAGTACATACACACATGTGCATGAATTTCAGAAAACAAAGTAAAATTAAAGCTTGGTTTATACTTAGGTGGCAGTTTATACATTAGTTTAATGCCAGTTAAATACACTCCATAATACAGATTGATGTTACATTAACCTTATTTATTATTTAATTGTACAAATTCACAAAATTTACAGCATTCATTTTGAAAAGAAGCCCCCACCCCTCTTTACTTTGCAAAAAGAAAGCCTATCCCGAAAAGTAGCACATCTCGAAAAGAAGCCCATCCAAAGTTCGCAAAAAAAAATATAAATAAAGGGACCAGGTGGGCCAGACATCTTCTGTAATCATCAAGTCTTGGGAAAAATGAATATAGGCCTAAGACTTGAATTGGATGGGATCCAGACCCCTCCACCGAAAAGTCTTGAAATGTGGGTGCTGATGGAGTGGGGGAGGTGGTGAAGTAGGGGATCGATGATCAGTTGAGGTGCGCTAATTTGCAAAATAAGTTGAATGTAGGTGATTTTTAACTTCTCGACAGTGATTTTGTGGGGGGATGGGGTGCGACTGGCTGGAGGGGGCGGGGGGACGGTGGTGCGCGAGCAATTTTTTGGGGGGCTTGCGCCCCAGCGCACCCCCTAGATACGCCACTGTCCGAAGAATTTTACTTTCTACATGTCGGGAACTGCACTTTCCTGCATTCTAAGGGGTCTGTTAATGACTTTAAACTTCAAAGTCCAATGTATAACCTTCCAATCACGTTTCTAGATTTTCGAGTAATGCAAATTGGCTTGTCATAGGTGAAGCACCAGGCTTTGT